AACAGGAGGTATACATAAGGGTGTGAAGGTCACCCTCTACAACGGGAGGTATACATAAGGTTTGAAGGTTAGCCTCTTGAACAGGAGGTATACATAAGGTGTGAAGGACACCCTCTTAAACAGGAGGTATACATAAGGTGTGAAGGACACCCTCTTAAACAGGAGGTATACATAATGTGTGAAGGTCACACTCTACAACAGGGGGTATACATAAGGTGTGAAGGTCACAATCTACAACAGAAGGTATACATAAGGTTTGAAGGTCACCCTTTTAAACAGGAAGTTTAAATAAGGTGTGAAGGTCACACTCTTAAATAGGAGGTAAACATAAAGTGTGAAGGTCACCCTCTTAAACAGTAGGTACACATAAGGTGCGAATGTCACACTCTAAAACAGAAGGTACACATAAGGTGTGAAGGTCACAATCTACAACAGAAGGTATACATAAGGTTTGAAGGTCACCCTGTTAAACATAAGGTATACATAAGGTGTGAAGGTCACTCTCTTAAACAGGAGGTATACATAAGGTGTGGAGGGCACACTCTAAAACAGAAGGTACACATAAGGTGTGAAGGTCCCACTCTACAACAGTAGGTACACATCAGGTGTGAAGGTCACCCTCTACAACGGGAGGTATACATAAGGTTTGACGGTCACCCTCTTAAACAGGAAGTTTGCATAAGGTGTGAAGGTCACACTCTTAAATAGGAGGTAAACATAAAGTGTGAAGGTCACCCGCTTAAACAGGAGGTATACATAAGGTGTGAAGGTCGCCCTCTTAAACAGGAGGTATACATAATGTGTGAAGGACACCCTCTTAAACAGGAGGTATACATAATGTGTGAAGGACACCCTCTTAAACAGGAGGTATACATAATGTGTGAAGGACACCCTCTTAAACAGGAGGTATACATAAGGGGTGAAGGTCACCCTCTTAAACAGGACGTAAACATAAGGTTTGAAGGTCATGCTCTTAAATAGAAGGTATACATAAGGTGTGAAGGTCACAATCTACAACAGAAGGTATACATAAGGTTTGAAGGTCACCCTGTTAAACATAAGGTATACATAAGGTGTGAAGGTCACAATCTACAACAGAAGGTATACATAAGGTTTGAAGGTCACAAGGAAGTTTAAATAAGGTGTGAAGGTCACACTCTTTAAAAGGAGGTAAACATAAGGTGTGAAGGGCACACTCTTAAACAGGAGGTATACATAAGGTTTGACGGTCACCCTCTTAAACAGGAAGTTTAAATAAGGTGTGAAGGTCACACTCTTAAACAGGAGGTATACATAAGGTGTGGAGGGCACACTCTAAAACAGAAGGTACACATAAGGTGTGAAGGTCACACTCTAAAACAGTAGGTACACATAAGGTGTGAAGGTCCCACTCTAAAACAGTAGGTATACATAAGGTGTGAAGGGCACCCTCTTAAACAGGAGGTATACATAAGGGTGTGAAGGTCACCCTCTACAACGGGAGGTATACATAAGGTTTGACGGTCACCCTCTTGAACAGGAGGTAAACATAAGGTGTGAAGGTCACCCTCTTAAACAGGAGGTATACATAATGTGTGAAGGTCACCCTCTTAAACAGGAGGTATACATAAAGGTGTGAAGGTCACCCTCTACAACGGGAGGTATACATAAGGTTTGAAGGTCACCCTCTTGAACAGGAGGTAAACATAAGGTGTGAAGGTCACACTCTAAAACAGTAGGTACACATAAGGTGTGAAGGTCACAATCTACAACAGGGGGTATACATAAGGTGTGAAGGTCACACTCTACAACAGAAGATATACATAAGGTTTGAAGGTCACACTCTTAAACAGGAGGTATACATAAGGTTTGAAGGTCACACTCTTAAACAGTAGCTACACATAAGATGTAAAGGTCACATAAGGTAACACTTGGATGTATTAGGTGGTGGTTCACACTCTACATCGGGATGTATATAAACGGTATTTGGACTCAACCTACAACGATAGGGTCACACTCTAAAACGGGAGATATATTTTGCAAAAGAGATAGGGCGGGAGGTGGGCACTGTTCCCTATTTCTTCAGTTTTATGGAAAAACAGTTTAACATCAAATTCACTGTTTTCCATATCGCCGTGTCTGTCCTCATCGTTAAAACCTTTGCTTGGGATACAATTTTAATTAAACTTTTCCGATCTTTACACATCAGGTACATGGATTGTTCATCATTAGCGTACATGATGAACGCTTCCAATCATTTCACCCACACAATTCCGTCTTTGTGTATTGCAGAGTTATCTTCTCTTGGGAGCAGGTATTGACTGTTACGTCATTGGTTTGTGTGAGAAAATTACGTCGTTTCCTCAAAAATTGATGACGTTACTCTCACAAACAAGTTACATAACAATCAATACCTGCTCCAAAGAGAAGATAACACTGCAATACGCAAAGACGGAATATGACCATTGCTACGTGTACGTTTTCAGATAATCGATAACTAATATTTATATGTTTTATTTTAGACACCATGTTTTCATATCATAAAATAACAAAAAAATCACTAAAAAGTCCCTTATAAGAGAGGGGTTTAAAGATATTTTTCAAAACACAAAAAAAAAAATCAATCACAGAGCTTTTATTTACACTTGTGCTTCTCTCTCCACCTCGACACATATTTTGTTTCTGAGTATATTGGGTGGTATGAATGATTGTAAGGGGTCCAAACATTTTTTGTTTCAAAATAAAAAAAAATCGCATCGCTACGCTGGGCGTTTTATACTAGAATTTTTGTCCTTTGGGTACGAGAACTGAATATATATATATTTATATATTAATATGTGTGTGTAATATACATCAAATATGATTAATATATTTTTGTTAGTATCTGATATATGCAGTGTTTTACTACGGATTTACTTAACTTTTGAATGTAGACACATTATCTGTTTTAGTCACGGAATTAGTCTAATCTTAAGTCCGTGGTTTTAGTCAGAGACGTATATCATACCTCTCTGTTTTAGTGCAATTAATATTTACTATTGGTGTCTTGCAAATAATTTGATAAAAAGAGAGACGTATATATTACAATTATAATTATAAGTCGCTGATAAAAATGAGAATAGATTGGTTTTATGATGAGTGCCACCAGAGACGTAATTTATATACGTCTCTGGTGCCACGAAAGGTTACATTTTGCAATGGACAGCGCATCAAACCTTTGCTAAGGACAACAAATCCGTAAAGTTGCATGCAGGAGGAAACAACTACATAAAAAAACAAGATACTAAAACGCTTGGTATTTCCAGTAGAAAAGAAAACGATGTCGGTGTTTCTTCACTGAAGTAATCATGTATCATATCTATAAAAAAAAAAAAAGCCCACGGCAGAGGTACCTGTCCATACCTGCAACCCTCAGTGACCCCTCCCGGTGTCACTAAATTTGATACGAAAACTGAGTTCTTGTTAACCTCGCGACCAATGAAAATGCACTCGGCAGAGGTACCTGCCCATATCTGCACCCCTCAACGACCCCTCCCGGTGTCACTGAATTTAATACGAAAACTGAGTTCTTGTTAACCTCTCGACCAATGAAAATACACTCGGTCACATATACATAGAACGAGCTCGAAGTTCGCGCCACTTCTTCCCGCGCTGTCAACCCTCATGGAGCTGACATTTGGGTAGGTGCAATATTTTGTTCTTCATAATGGCAAATTATGCATTGATCACGTTGTCAAATAGATACTGTCCTAGGTTTACTCTCTGATTCAATGATATTTGATATTGATTGCCTTTTATGCATCTTTTGGCGAATTATTACTTTTAGCACGGACTTAGATAATTCCGTACTTTTAGTGTGTGACCAAATAATGAAATATCGTGCACATCAAAATGACGTCTAGCTTTCCATTACTAGTAACTGGTTATATGATCTTGGATCTATCTTTACGGCGTATAGCTTCTGTTGGACGCCCTTGGTGGCTGACTTTTTCGCATAATTAGAAGCCCTCTCGAGATTTCAACTTATCTAGTTTTACCACCGATTTTTTTAACAAAAAACGTGAGTAGCTCTGACGTCACATAAATAAAAAAACACAGTGTTGATAAATGTCCCCTTAATGTTGGGCATTATAAAGAAAGGAAGATTTTATGAAAAATTGGTGAAAATCGCGAAATAAATTAAAGAATTTTCTTTTGAAATCATTGATCATGGATTATTGAAAGATCATAAAATTAAATAATCAATTCAAATGTGGTAAAAACCTTACGATTCCATATTAATTTTTACAAGGGTTATAGCCCTGTGACACATAAAAAATTTGTAACATTTTGAAAATTGTTGGGAAAAGTTGCACTCTTCAATTTAAAAAGGGCCATAACTCTTGTAAAAATTGGAATGCATAGTTTCATGCTCAACTTGTCCTACAGTTTTTACATAAACGTTGCGAAAGTTTGTATGTGTCACAGGTATCCTATGAAGATTACCATATAATTAAATTCGGACCCATTGCCAATTCTTACAAGAGTTATGACCTTTTGCAGTTTCATTTTTTTCTTATTAAGAAAAGATACAGCAGAGACAAATATAAATTGATAACATTCAACAGCACTCCTAAAGCCATACCATTTGGTAAACACTCACTCCACAACTCCTAAAACTACAGGTGTATGTTCCTTCCAAAGTTATATTAAATCACCAATTTGTTGCAGGCGTATACTGCTGTGCTTGCAGTGGTCGTTTCAGCTGTTTTCAATGGGCCCAAAATTTTGACCCATTCCCTGTAGTATATTCC